GGTTCCTTTGTGGGCTTGTTTCGTATCGTTTGCAGTCATATTTCGTGAGAATGATAGTCTTCCTAGTGTACGTCTATGAATCAAGTTTGTAATTGGAATGAAGTAATATAACTTACGGGCGTATTTCGTGACTGCAACTTGTTCTCATATCTAATAATAAAGCCACTTCTAAAACGCCTTTGGCCAAACTAGAACAGTCCTCTCATTTCCTCAGACCGTGGATGGTGATTATGTTGTTTCAGCTTCTCAAAACAGGCTCTTCTTGGATGCTGGGGTCTCTGTTCCGGGTCGCTGATCAAGGGATAGGGGTTCGAGTCCCACACTTTTCTTGACAGCTTCTGCTTTCTATCAATCTCCAAACACGGGACCATCTGAAGGCAATGTTGTCGCATTCACTAGAAAAATTTTAAGAATTTGCCCAACATGTCCAAGTTCGGGAACCACAAGACACGTAGGTTAACCCAGGGGATTTTCACTCCATTTTTTAGGTATTTCGCAACGAAATCGATACGAATTGTAAATCATGATGGCACAGATAGAAGTAAGGACATCTTGGCTCCAGAAATGGCTGGTAATGAATAACCGAAGGACATAAAAAACTTAAAAGCGTCCAAACACAAGACCTTACCGGTTACCTAGCAGGGATAACTCGTTTACTTTGTTAAGTGGAGAAGAAGCGAGTTAAGTACATCTACCATCTGTCAGAAAAGTGATCAAAAGTGCGTTTATTTTTAGCGACCAGGTAACAGGAGAGGACTTATCCGATCCTTTATTGTTATTACTAGACACTATCTCATTTCATGCGTGGTTGGGAACATTGTCTGTTATCTATGTTTCCATACCGCAAGGCTCACAGCTCTGGAGATACGGCCGTGTGACGTTCTATGCAAATCCTTGCAAATCCACCCTCCCCCTTTCGGAAATATGCTCTTTTTTAATATTCCAACATGTAATCATAAGACGTGGTGACGGCACACTCAACAAAGTTTTTTCAACTTATATTAATGCCGCCACCAACAACACAGGGGACAATACAGTACTGGTTTACACCCGAGCGAAGTGAGGAAAGTCGAATATGCTCTTTTTGAGAGAGGCGGTGCTCTGACTTTTCTGTGCAGCTGTTATGACTTGATGACCTGTCACTCTTTGTAACTCACTTTATCTTTTGACCCAACTGCTGTTGTATACAACCTCACAGCAACAACCACTAATACTGTGGTCGTCATCTATGCAGTGTTTTTCATTAAATATTCACGACATGGTTTAACACCAGCTCAGTCATGTCCTGGAGTGTTTGGGTCTGTAATTCCCTACTTACGTTGTTCATTTTGACGTCAAATCGCGCCGACACATGCAATATTAATATCAGGATTTTTACAAGTGACGTCATGTGCAGAATTAGTAGTGTTTTCCAGATTTAAAGAACGGTTTAGGGTTCGGTCACGTAGGTAGAGCAATCGCCGTATGGTCTAAAATCTAAGGGCATTCGTGGGTAGTCGTGCATGTATCCTGCAAAATTCAGTTGTCTTCTTGCGAAAAAGGCTGTCTTAGATGCTTGATTAGTTCTATCTTAGCCTGCTAGAAACTTCAAAACCGTACGTCGACCTACGAATGTCACCAAGCCGTTCGTTTCATACATGTGGTTGGCAAATATGGCGGCTGCACAAACGTACGCGTAATAGTGTTGTGTTGTCTGTCACTAAAACACCAGACTTTCCACCGCGATGTGTGATCAAACAGCCCCTTTCTTTGCACAACACGGGAAGAGCCCTGTGCTGAAATATGGGCCCATCGTGTGGGAGTTATTAGTGCCTGTTTGTTGAACATACCTCCGTCACATGACAACATCTTACTAATGTCAACAGGACTAAAGGTGCTGTTTGGTGGCAGTAGACGGGAAATGTAAAGTTGACGCGATGTTTTAACAGTTAAAACGTGTTTGAAGAGTCATTGAAGCATGTTTCAAAGAGCGTAATTAGTAATTAAATGGCAAAACATTGCTTGCTTGATGCTAGGCAAATTTGCAAAATAAGTCATGATACTGTGCATGTAATTACAGAATGTATATTTTGTCCTTCCGTTGACTTTTCACCCCCAAAGCAAGACCGTTTACTTGTATTGATACCGAGTGTTGAGTGCTGTAGTCGCGACTGTTTCTAATGAAGAATCTAATCTAAACCGCAATGTACCGGATTTAACCGGTACGTAACCGCAATTCTGGTAATGTTTGTCAGATCTAGGCTGACTAGATACAAATCGCCTATTCTGTGATGGTGTACGTGAGTGTGTACATGTAAGCACATGTCAGTGGACTTGAGCTGTCTTATTGTATGTAGGGGTGCTATCCGGACCTACTAGTGACAAAATAAAAGGATCCAAAAGTCATTGAGTACGCCGTACATTGTAATTTTAGGAGGCTACGGAGTCTCAAGCCTTCCATTGCTATTTTGCGTTATCGATTTAACGACATTAACTGAAATCGCTAATTATCTAATCCAGATCTTCACGCTAGAATTAATGAGTAGGATACGGAGATAACCGCTGTCCCAGTGGAATACGGGCGGACGGAAAGGGTAGTTGCCCTGTCCTTGGTGCTGACGGGGTGTCATAGACGTAGCCTCCTGTGCAGACGTTCTAGCGTGCATTGTTACTTTGTACGTGCGAGCGGTTTCTTTTCGGGGGTGAGGATGATATATTGGGGAGAAATGTAGATCTGTATAGTATAGAACTGTATCGTGGGGAGAGCTGAGATGACACAGAATCCCGTGAGAGTCTCCCGTGCAGACTTTCTAGCGGACAGCATTTGTTTTTACGTACGGGCGCGGCTAGAGCGCGGTGGTATCTTTTCGGTGTGAGAGGGATATATGCAGGAGGGTAGGGTGGAGCTTAGATGACACAGTAGACTATGATAGCCTCCTGCGTAGTCTTTCGGGGGGAGGGGGGTACTGCTCTCCCCTCGATACAGCTCTCCCACCGAAAAGCGAAAAGAAACCGCCGCGCTCTAGCCACGCTTGTAGAAACAAAAGCTACCTACCAGATAGTCTGCACAGGAGGCTATCATCTCTGCTTTGTCAGTCAATATACCCTAGCTAGGAATTCGCCTTATCCACAAAATCCCACGTATTCTATAACCACCGGTACCATTTCCCCCGATTTGTTTATTTTGAAGAACCCATAGTTACGGTTCCAAGCCCAAAATAAAGAGATTAGCAAGGAAGATATGAGCGAGTAAATACCAGTGTAGGCGTAATTGTATGTATTAAGAACGCTAACGTAGAATCAAAGAAACAGCGATAACCCAGAATTACTTCTGTCACAACGTAAGAGAAGTTTTTCACCGACACAACATTTGCTTCACGCCTGACTTCGGGCTATTGGGAGGTTGTATGTAACGTTACGTCTGATCGACGACGTACCACAAAATCCTTATGTTGTAGGATACACATTTTCATGGTAGTTTTATACATTTCATGGCTTTTTAATTCTAATCGTGGATGAGATAGTATACCAACAGGGCTAGTCTAGATCTCTATCAGACTTTTTGGCCAAATACGTACGCTGTTCAATTTGTCAGATGGACATAAAGTTACATGCTTACTTACATAGTCTCTACCAGGCTTCTTAGGCTGCTGGAGAAAATATGTGGCCAATGCCTGCATCACTTATTTTCCTGGAAGCCTTAGGATCCTGATATAGACTAGCCTATAGGGCCAATCGCGAAAGTTTGTCGCACAGGTGAAAGATTTTCTCACGGCCCAGGCATCTCCCATCCTCTCACCAAGAACGATCCTTGCTTTAACCTTTGGTCCGCTAAGCCCCTGCAGGTGGTTCGGTTCGGTCGTCTGGTAGCGCCACAAACTCGCGCCAACAGATGTATCATTTGCATGGCGCGACATTCGCGACCTCCGATTCTTTGTGTTGGTCGTTAGCCAGTCTCGCGCCAAAGTGATTTGTCTCTGGAGGTGACGTCATTGTTTTGGTTCTCTTAGTGGAGGTAAATTTGCCGCCAAACTGGCACAGAAGGTGTTGACGGTGGTTTGTCAAGGTTACGAAAGTTCAAAAGCTTGCCTAGGAAGTCGTAAGGGCCTTTTTTTAGGTCTGATGTTTTCTTAAAGGAACCGAAGTGTTTTGTTTGGGAAGAAGACAACATAGAATTACGCACTCCAATACATCTATGCCTTAGGCGTTGTGATCGCTTATCTATGCAGACGTCTCAAGAATCTAAACAGATAACAAACGATCCTGCTTTTCTGAAAGAAAGCAAGAATCTTTGCCAAGCATCATCGGACACTCTAAAAAGGGAGAAAGTGATGTTTTGTTACGTTGATTAAAGTGATTAAAGGTGGATTTTCATGTGAAAGTGTCTTGATTTCCACACGCCATAGCATGTGGGAAATATTCAGGTGGAGAGAAACTATTCGCCTAGATTTCTTCCATGAATACCTCGTAGTCAATCAGTGTTATATCGTACCGCTGTGAAGTCACCAAAACGGCGCCCGACATCCTGACACAAACCTGTGCGACTTGTCTCGCACTTTTGAAGTATTTTGTCGACATGTCAGCAAACATTGAAGTTGTTCCTCCCATAACTTGTCCACGACTCGCCATGAGGTTGTTGAGGTAAACATCTTAAACGATATGTTGATATAAGCCTGGATGTGGAATGTGTATAAGCCTGGATGTGAAATGTGTAAATGTATGTGTGTTTGAAATGATGTGAGGAACAAGGTACAAGAAAGGCAAGTCTATAGGTCATGGTACCTTCGTGTTTCTGAGAGCATGGAGCTCTAAAATGATACCCGTTTATAGCTCCATGCTTGGAGAAAGAGAAACAAGCTTAAACCCCGTGTTACACTTAAACACAGTGAAAGCTTTTGACATTGCCGTATACCCTTCTTAAAATAACAGAGGTTCCTAAAGAATCTATGGTTGCAATTGAAGTTCCATCGTTATACTTATACTAACATAACTTTTGTTGCGTTTTTTTTTTCTTTCTGCAGTGATCCTTTTCCCAACTGTCACATCTGGGGCTTCATCTTGTGCCGGGTCGCCATGTTTGAACAACGGCACATGCGTACCAGTGACCCCGTCCTTAGAACATCGCAGCTCGCTACCCATCATCCTCTCGTGTCCCATGGGCTGGATCCGGCAGGGAGGGTCCTGTTACAAGTTTCACATCAACGACAAGAAGAGTTGGGAGGAGGCGAGGCAGACCTGTCGGGGAGAGTCGTCAGAGCTGGTTTCCATAGAGACGGATCAAGAACACAAGTTCCTCCGGGCGCTGACCGTCAACGGCTTGTACAGCGGTGAGTCTTGTCACCTACTACCTTAAGATATGTACAAGGTGATAAGGTGATATTATGACTTTCATATTATGACTTTTGATTTCCATGAAACATCACTGTGAAAGTCCTCATAGATCATAGAAACATTTCTACCTCACTCATTCACTACGTTTGCTACGTTCTGTACAATAAAGTTGAAAACTTTCGACGCCATGTTGGAAGTAGCGCAAAGCATCGTGGAACTGACACGTCACGGTGGGAGGAGGTCAGTATGTTTTTGAGCCAGCCTCGATGCACACAGAGTCCATACGTTGATACATGTACTGAATACTGTATCTACATTTGAACTTGCTTAGGTCCATGCCATACCAGCAGTATGATCTGCTTCTAGGAACCGTCTCTTAGCTTGTTTTTGGGAAAAAAAGTTTGCGTCAGTAAGGTCATTGTCACATTCCAGTTCCTTCACCTCTTCGGACGTTTGTGAAAGAGGTGACAAAATATTCGAAAACCTTTTCCCGGTGTGGCCTCTTGGGTGGTACTTGACACATTCGTGCACCCCTCTAAAAGAAACGTTGTCCAATTTACGGCGAAGACGATCCCTTTATTGGTACCATGTATGAGATTTACTGCGAGGTCTTCTAGGTACATCTAGAACCGGCTTTACACGTCCGTGCAGCCCTTATGGTACACGACTGGGTAATAAGATCCAATAACCCTCACAAGTCGCAGCAAGAAAGTATAAAAGAGGAGGAATGAGCCAGCGTGACGCCGAGTGATTGCCTGCTATTTGTCGGCCGTTGGAGATGGATGTGCGGACCAAGGCACCACTTAGCGGGTAATCAGGTGTTTTATATGTGCAGAAAACCAAGGACGGCGTTTGGGACATGTGATTCTTCTTTTCTTAGTTATCGATGTGTTCGAGAAAGAGTGCGACCTCAATCTAAAAAGTTACCATTTCAATAGAATTTTAGTTATTCCTTACCAGGACAGACATTATTCTTATGGGTGGCAATTCAGGGAGAACTTTCGTACACAAGGGATCTGTATTTACCTTAGCATCTAACGCATATATGAAGAACGAACGTGCTTATTCTATTGGAAGATAGGGAAAAGTTGAACTTGAAACAGGGGAAAAGTTGAAGCAAAAAGTTTAGATTTTTCTCTGAGGAAGACATATTGGGATGAGCAAAAAGGGGTGACCCAAAAGAAAGACAGCTTCAAGATTTAATCGATACAAGCTAATGACTCATTTTTCATTCATCGTCACCTCCCATACATCATGCGGTTTCGGCAAAATGAGAATCGAGCTGTTTGTAACAGAGAAAGAAGCGGAGTGTGGGGTCCATGAACTTTCGGCAAATATGTTTTACTTAGTAATAATGGAGTCCAATTCTTTTCTCACGACGCTGGCGTATTGTTGGGAGCACTGAGTGTTAACCTAAGCCTGGTTCGATGAACATCATCCATAACCTGGGACCTAATCTAAATGGAAATTCCGGCCCAGGACGTGACAACACGATCTTGAGTGTAAAGAGATCTAACAGAACGTGAGGAGATGAACCACCTCGGCGATACACTGGCAAATGAGAGATGGTGGATTCAGGTCCCGTATTGTGAAGCTGTCGGGGGGTCCTTGCCACGGGGTAACCAGGGGCTGACAACGAAATCAATAAGGGAGAAGATTGAGTGCCTAGAGAAATGCGTGAATAGACATGTCTTGGCATTGAAATATGTATGGACTTTGATATATGTTAGCTTAGAGACATATGTTAGCCAGGAGATTTTGCCCATATCAGCACATGATGTTGATGCCAGGAGCGGAGCTTGAAGCTGCCGATCACCTCATCAGAGGAGGGTTCCTCGTGCCAGTTTTTAATGCAGCCTGCTGAATTATTGGTTTCATTTTCACTCTTTTGCAATAAATATGACCAGAAGGCAGAAGCATCACTGATAAAAATCCCCAAGCTTCTCAAGGTTTGACCAGAAAAGTGAAACATCGAGGCAAACTGAATTAGTGTGGAAGTAGGTCTGGGCTTGTTTCGACATTGATGAAATACTGCTGTCTGGTTTTGGTGATTACCATCAATGGTTACTGTATGGAAGATTCATGTATTACTGATTTTAGCAAATATTATCACTGGTGATGTACACAAGAGTCAGATGTGGTGCATGTGTGTCTATCTGTGGCTGTTTTAGGTGTTAGTCTGTGACCATAATCTCTTGTTTGTGTAACACAAACACTATTGTCCGGGGGTGTGGCTGGCCGGTGGGATGTTGAGGCGGGCCGCTATAAGCGCAATGTAATCAGGCCACATAGTGTCAACCTCTGTTGACATTCTAGATCTGTTTGCAACAGTTTTGTGTGTAGAAGGATTCGCTCTGTCTTCAAGTTGTTCAAACAAATTCCTTGGTTGTGTATCACCAGACGAAGCATGCATTGTACACGTACGTTTGTTTCTAGGCCCATTAGATGACTGCCCGGAGAACAACACTCTATTCTTCAACAACAAAACCTACTCCGCCTACTTGGAACCG